TCCTAATTAATTAAGAATAAGAGATTACAAAAAGGAATACAAGAGAAAATGAACAAGACATTTGGATAATTGAGAGAAAGTTTTATATTAATGAAAATAATAATTTTTTTAGATGGACAATCAGTCGGGGTAAGTATGAATTTAATTGGAAGCTCATTTATGAGTTGGGTTACATTATAATAAATTCGGGTCGATTTAAAATAAGCCAATAAAAAGATATCATGAAATTAATAATTTTTTCAATATTATTTTCAAGTGTATCGGGTCAAAATATGAATAATAAGTGGTTTTATAGAAAAAATAGAATTTTTAAAAATATCATTGTTATTATTTATTTGAGAAGGTTTAAATTTGGATGACCAATAACATTAAGCAATATAATAAATAAATATTTAATAATTTTACTTTAAGGGAGCTATTGAAAATAAGGGCAAATATGAGTCAAAGGATTAACATCGAGGGTATTTTTGAGCCGAAAGGTGGATGTCAAGGATATTTTAGGGCCGATAGGTGGATAGAGGGTAATTTTGTACCAATTCAAATACTTGAGGGACATTTTAGACCCTTTTCCGTATAAAAAATAGTATGAAGTATTTATATAGGTCAAAACTTATTTGTGATATAGTATATATTAAATTATAATTCATAAAAATATTTCTGACTTTGTCATTGCTCGCGAGGGACATGAGCTAAGTGACTACACTTAATTATTACACTACGCCATTCATCATGGTCTCAAAGAAGAAAAAATTGTAATTTGATGAATTATTTTGAGCAAAATATTTTGTATAACAATTAGGTATGAATATAGAAAGTGATATCTTTTTTAATCTTACTAAACAAAAAATTAAGTTATTTATACAGATTCATAAAATATGAAAAGAAGGATATGCAATTATAGACCGGATGAATATTAACAATTAATGAATCGTTTGATAGCTGATTTAGATGAGTTATGTAAATATTAAATTTTATATGAGTAATATACCAAGAATGTTTGGTTGTTGGTTGGAAGATAAAATAATAAACATGTGTAAAATCGATTTGAAGTTTGGCTTGCAACCACATAACTAATACATGTGTATAAATTACGAGAGAATCTACATAAAATTTCTACATGATTGAAGGTGGATAACTATACATGAATGTCTAATCTCTGCATAACTAATATATATTTGCATAAAATATTATATAAATTCTTTTATAATTAATTTGTGCATTACTAATACCCGCATAATTTTAAGGCCTAACCCATCGGTGACCCCATAAAGTTGGCACAATATTTTACTTAGACGCCTTAACTGAACGATGTTCATTTTAGACACTTCATGTAAGGTTCCGTTGTGTCATTCTGACACTTTTTTTAATATCAGCAAAAATATATAATGTGTGTGTGGTACACTCGCGAATGACGCGTAAAATGACGAATTAAACGATGACATTTGTCATTTGTGCCAAAAGTGATTTTTAATTAATTAATTTTGAGTAAAAATAAAAATTAACCAATAAATTAATGACACGTGACCCAAATATTACAAAATAAGAGAGAAAGGTGAGCGAGAGAGGAGAGAGACGAGTGAGATAGGAGACACGCAAGCGAGAGAGTCAGTGCATCCTATATACATTTGAATCCACTTGAATATTTGAGATACTAGATACATTCTAAAATACATATACATAGGGAAAGAGGTGAGCGAGAGAGAAGATAGACGAGCAACAAAGTCAGTGTATCTCAAATACACACCAAAATCACCGTTCTCCCACCAAATCCTCATACAACCCCCCGTCATCTCCAAATACTAAATCTGCATATAGTAATTTTTTTTCTCTTACAAAATAAATTACGATCACTTTTTCCCTTTTCTTTTGCCTAATACATAGCTTGATAGAGAATGGGAAATTTTTTGTTAGTTCAAAAAATAAAAATTAGCTTAGCTTAATGAAATTTACTCCTTCATTTTGCTAAAACCTTCATTCACAAGGGATGAAATTTAACTTGAACAAAATGGTAGCTGAAAAATGGGGAAGAAGAAGAAAAAATAAATTAATAATTAACTAAAGAACCATTCACGCGCAGGTCAGTAAATGTATCACACTCATTATGCCATGTAAGCAAAAAATATCAAAACGACACAACACAACCCTATATAAAATGTCTAAAATGAACATCGCCTAATTAAGATGTCTAAGTGAAACATGGTGTCAACTTTAGGGGGCTACCGATGAGTTAAGCCTAACTTTAATTACCAACGAAATGCATGGAGACAATATATTAGTGCAGAACGAGATGACAGTTTGTAGGTCCATTGATATAAGGGAAAAGGGACAAATATACCCCCGAACTTTCAAAAATGGTATGTCAATACCCTTCGTCATACTTTTCGTCCATCAAAGCCCTTGCCATCCAATAATCAATACATATTTACCCTTCCCACTAACAGAATACTTATTGTGTACACGTGGCACAATCTCACGCCACTACCCGAATTGACCAATTTTTTAACCCAAATTTCAAAACCCACCCATAACCCATTTAACCCACCCAATTTACCCACAAATAAACTCTCTAAAATCCTAAAGAAAAATGGAAATCCTTATTGAATTCATCAACATGAACCCTGATAGTATCCTTATCAACATTAACATCATTTTTAATCTTCTTCGCATTTTAGTAATCCACATACAGCACCCCCGACCACGGCGGTGAAGGTGGCGGTGAAGGTGGCGGATAAGGATTTCGAGAAGGAGGAGTTAGTAAAGGATAAGAATTTCGAGAAGGGGAGGTGTTGTAGAAGTTGCAGGTAAGGAGTAGGTTGGGTGGGGAGGTGGTGGGGGAAGGGAAGGAAAGGGCGGAGCAATAGAAGAAGACGACAGCGGCAGCAGCGGAGGAGAAGAGTGGTGGAGGTGATGATTTTGATGCCTTTTACTCCATGAAATTTCCATTTTTTCTTCCTTGCAGGAACTAGAGGAACAGTAGTAGAAGAATTTTGAAGAAATCAACCGAAGAATTAGAGAAGAAGAATGATGGAAAATGTGGGACCCAAGTTGTTAAGGGAAAGTGATTAGGAAGTTAAGTTGAAAAAATAATTTCAAAAAATTAAGTTTTACCAAAACAATCCATTAATTAATAGGAGTATTACAATAAAGTTCTTATTACAATCATATTTTTAAAATGCGTGTAAAGTTTAACATAAATAAATAAACTTTAGAATTTTTCTTTAGGATTTCAAAGAGTTTATTTGTGGGTAAATCAGGTGGGGTAAATGGGTTATGGGTGGATTTTGAAATTTGGGTTAAAAAATTGGTCAATTCGGGTTGTGGCGTAGGATTGCGACACGTGTACACAATGAGTGTTCCGTTAGTGGGGTAAATGTGTACTGATTATTGGACGGCAAGGGCTCTAGTGGACGAAAAGTATAACGGAGGGTATTGACATACCATTTTCGAAAGTTTGGGGGTATATTTGTCCCTTTTCCCTTGATATAAAGAGTTGGGCGTCATGAAGATGACGCATGCTAAATGACGTTGATCCACCTTGTGTTACCGACGTCACCTTTGTAAAGTTACCTTTACACATATCCGTGTTGTCAGAATTTTTATTAAGAGATGTCAAAATATCAATACGAAGAAGCCAATAAAAGAGACTGAATATGTATATATACTATATGTACATAAAGATTATTTTTAGTCTAACTATACAGTGTAATTTTCAACGATGAAAACATGTAAATTGAAGCCCTTGAATACATGTGGCTCTGTCATTGATACCAACATACCTAGCACGAGATATTTACACTCAACCTATCTATGTAAGATATGTATCATTTATCATTTAATTTGGTCGATTCATACTTTGATTCTTAGCTAACTCAAGTTAAAATGATCGGTTAGGTGTAAACATTCGAAACGAATAGGTATTTCTTTGATGATTAAGTTCTTCCTACGACCAAATTTAATTGCACAATATTTGCTAGCAGTTTAAGTTCTTTGAAGTACTAAACCTATATAGGCATGTCTACTCCATGTGTCATTAATTTTTATAATCAATATTGATTAGAAACATAAAATGTATAAAAAGTGACCAGCCATGATCGATTAGAGATAGTATTAAAAAGAATTATATTGTTGATATATACAAAATTTTATGAGTAACTAAACTATATTATGTTCATTCATATTTGGGCCCTTAAAAGCAGTCCATCAAACCAAACGAGAAAAGTTACTGGGCTTTTTATTTATATGGATTTTATGGGCCTTGTTTGGGCTCTAGAGAGCATTCTATGGTAAAAGAAGTAGTGGAATATTGAGTGGTATATTCCATAAGCAAATGAACTTTTATGCAACATTATATATAGCTAAATGTTTCTTGCAAATTCTGTGTTTCAATTGCAAAATGAAGGGGGGATACCATTATTTGTCTTCATTTCAACAATTCCATGCCTTTAGACCAACATTTAGGTACTCCCTCTCTTTCTATTTATGTATATTTTGCTTCATCTCACCTTTATTTTTGGTTATTATTATTATAATATATATTCTATTGGTCCCAAAATAAGTATGTTTTAGCTTTGTTTCCATGCCCATTAAAAAAATAATTAATAAATACAAGATATTATTTACTAAATTGCCTCCATTTATTAGTAGATATTTCTTGAAAATTAAACACTATTTTAAAAAATTATATTTTTAAATAAAATGAAAAAATCAACGATGGGCTGGGCATGAATATTATCCATTTCCATATCTCGCGATCAAACCCAGACACGTCAGCTAGGATATATATGAGAAATGTAATTTGACTACAAATTCGGGGACCATTCTTGCAAATAATACAGAGGTCACGTGTCAACCATCATCTCATTTTGGATAACGCATTTCTTTTTCTTCATCTTCTTCAGTCCCCCACTACTGTACCGAGCAACAAAGTAACTGTGATTCTCCTTCAAAATTTCATCAACCTACTTCACAATTTTACTTCTTAGATTGATAATTTGACTCAGAAATCTCTAGCTACTGTTCCTGCAATAGACAACAATGGCGACTCTTTCCCTTTCCCCTTCCGTGGGAACAACTTTTCACTCTCTCCATAGCTACCCAACTGGTTCCTCATCCTACTCTTCTTCTTGTCCCACTACTGCTTCTCCATCTTTGTCACTGACATTGTCATCTAGCAATTCGGGGTTTTTAAATTCAGCTTTCAAGAAGAATGAGATTAATGTTCCAGTGAGGAATAGGGTGACAAAATCCTTTGGGGTTCGGATGTCTTGGGACGGTCCTCTATCTTCCGTTAAACTCATTCTTCAAGGGAAAAACCTTGAGGTTACACTCCTTAGTCCTTACCATATTATTATTTCCCTGCATTTTTTGTTTTATATGCTAAAGTGTACTTCATAGGAACTTGAGTTATCTGAAAAATAGTTAATTGATTTTCAATCTATTCCTCTATCAAATGGTTACTCAACTGCTATTAGGGTAGTTTCCAGCCAAGGTTTATCGGAAACAACCTGTCTATCCTGCAAAAGTAGGAGTAAGGTCTGCCTACATAATAGTACCTTTTAGCTTTTTAGTATCTGATGTCTCTATATCAATCTAATTTTGATAGGATCTAACATTTCTTGGAATCCATGTAGCCTCAGTGAAAAATTGGGCACAATGAAAGAAATATCTATTAAGGTGATATTTCTAGTAGTCCTCTAATTTGTCAGAGAAGAAAATATAGAGAGCTTCTAGTACCTTTATTACTCTTTTCTATTTTGTTTTGCTTAATGTTAGTTTGAGATGAACTTAAATGGAGGGACATGGTCAATGAGGATTTATAAAGCCTAACAAACTTGCTTGTGATTGAGGCATAGTTGTTGTAAAACATATGATGTATAAATTGAGATAAAAAACAATTTAGCTTGTCGGACTCTCGTATTTGGAACCATTAGGAAGTACAATAGTTAGTTCACAATGAAACAACAAGTCTTAGCAGATTGATTGCTCAAATGGATTATTTTTCTGCCTTAAACGTGTTCATGGATGTGAAGAGTGGTGACTTATTGTTGTGGTGCAACTACAGTTAACACCTGCTGTGAAGGACTATGTGGAAGAGAAGTTGGGTAAGGCAGTTCAAAAGCACAGCCATCTAGCCAGGGAAGTGGATGTTAGGCTGTCTGTTCGAGGTGGAGAGCTTGGAAAAGGCCCAAAAATTCGAAGATGTGAAGTGTGCACCAAAAACTTGCAAATTCATTATTTTAGGTTTTGTTATTGTTCTTATTATTCAAAATATACTTGACTGGCATTCCTGAACTATAGGTTACTTTATTTACGAAAAAGCATGGAGTGATTCGTGCAGAGGAAGATGCAGAGTCAATTTATGGAAGTATAGATATGGTATCATCAATTATACAGAGAAAGTTGCGGAAAATTAAGGAGAAGGATTCAGACCATGGTCGCCACATGAAGGGATTCGATAGGCTGAAAGTCAGGGACCCAGAGGTGCTGTTAGTTCAAGAGGATCTTGAAACACTTCCCCAAGAGGAAGAAGTTGAAGATGATGACAAGAGCGATGGCTTTGTTACTGAGGTTGTCTCTGAACTTATATGTTTTGCCAAATATTCTTCTTGCACTCAATTTATTGGTTACTCCAAGTTTGACATGGCCTTTTAGCTTAGACTTGATTGAATTCTTAGCAACAGCAAGGATACATGTTTTTCACTGTGACTAAAGGGCCTTACTGATGCTGGCAATTGATATCTTGCCCAATTAATATTTTTTAACTGAGTAGAATAGCTGAATGAGTTTTGCTAAGGTGTATTCCATTTTTGACGTTGGATGCCATGCTCTTGTCCTATTATCCTTCCCTGATATGTTTAGAGTATTATAGAAGAGAGGTAGTAAGAGACCAGGAAAAAGACATCTAATTGTACATTGATATATAAGATGGTTCTCATTTTTTTGTTTGATGTTTAACGGTGGATCGGAGTAGAATAAGAATCGACTGGTGGAATAACACTTGGGTATCACAATCTAGGATGTTGATAAAAACTTCATTTCCTGTGTCAGTTTTAAAATTTTATTCCAGTCCTTGAATTAGTAAGGATCTTGAACGGAGAAAACTGGTAGGTATTGTGAAGATATGGTATGTTTCGCTTTAATGGGAAAAACTTCTAAATTTTACGTTAAAATGGTTCACCTAGAAAGCATTTGAAATACCATTTAGGAACTAAGATTTGGTGACCTTTATAGCAGTATGAACAGGGTTGGCATATGCCTTAAAACATCCTGATTTCTGATCTTAAGTTATGTGATAGCAGATGCCCCTGCCCATTTTCTCCTGGGGACTCCCCGTTTCATTTGTTGCATTTACCGAACACTGAGGCATGTACATTAGGCTCATCTTTCCAGTTACAGTGTTTATTTAAATTACAGGTGTAATATCTATTCCAGATACAATAAGGTTGTCCTTTATCTATAAGTGTTTTTTTGTATGGAACACCTTTGTCCTTTCTGTTTCTACCATTCCAAATCCTCTCACGACCTATCAAATGCCTGTGTCTTTATTCAGCCCAAACCGAGTAGCCTATGCTGTAGCCAGATATTCATAATCTCTACTTGATATAAATGCCTCGGTGGCTTCTGCACTCACAGCATGCTTTGTCTACCCAAGCATTGAAACGTGCGTCTTCTCTTTTAAGTGAACAAGTTCTTGGCTGTTGAGTGGGTGTAGCACTGTAGATCGTGTTGGACTCTTCCCTTTTATGCTTTAACTGCCTGTTCCAGAATACTGAATGATGCACGAAGTCATTAACAGACATCACCCTCGAAATCCTAGCTTGAGATGTAATGATCTGATCATCAAGATTTACTACATTCGCTTAAATGAGTATAAACAACCATTTGAACGGTTAATAATGTTTTAGATATAGATTTATTGGGTATTTTGCCTAATTTTTCTAGAATTCTATTCTCGAACTCACTTCCGTTCATATTTTATTTCAGGTTGTTCGTAAGAAGTCCTTTGACATGCCACCTTTAAGTGTCAATGAAGCAATTGAACAGCTGGAAAATGTCGACCATGACTTCTACGGTTTCCGGAATGAGGAAACTGGTACTGATAAATATCTTTAAAACTTCATAAACAATTTTCTGAATGCTTCAAGGGTATTTGGGTTTATGATTCTATGCCTTGCTGCAGGTGAGATTAACATTGTTTACAGACGAAAAGAAGGAGGTTATGGACTTATTATTCCAAAGGAAGATGGTAAAACAGAGAAGTTAGAGCCCTTGGAGGTTGAACCAGAGAAAGAACCGTCGATAGCAGAATAAATCGATTTGGTAAAAGAGTTCTTAGTTAGTCACTGAGTACATTTGCTTAGCATTATGTTCACTCCTTGAGAGTCAGAAAAAACAGTTTTATGAATTGAGAACATATTGCCAGAAAAGCTTCCGTATGAAAGTAGATGTTTCTACTGTTCTGTAAAATTTGTAATTATAACTTGAAAAAGGGAATAATGCAACTGAATTTTACATTCTAGTGTGCGCTTTCTTGGATCTTTGCTCATTGTGCTTCTGGTGTAAGGGAGCCAAAACATTTGTATGTTTGCAGCTTATGAAGGTGAAATGTACATCTACATATCATCTATTACGTAGAAACTACGTAATTCACTCTTAATATTGTGTATATATGATGAAGGTAGTCATAGTTTCGGGTTAAATGACATCAACTTTTCTTCGAAGAAAAAAAAAGGAGGAGGATTGCGCGATATCCCCTCGTTTTCAATTTAATGTCAAAATTTCTTCAAATTTGAATGATATTACTAACTGAAAGTTTTTCATTTCCCTCTCCACCTCTCTATTGTTGTAGTAATATATTAACTACTGCACATTTCAGGTTACAATCCTTGATCTAAAAACAAGCCTGAAAAAAGGGGTGCAGTAACATCCTTATGAATATTACATAGTTCATCACATTTGAGAATCATTAATTACATATTTAATGGGATTCATGGAATTATTAACGACAGAATATTGACTGGATAATCTCATCTATGAGGACTTATACATACGTTTCATTATCGTAATTAATCACCATAGTCAACAAAAGAAAACTCTTAATAAATATAAAACGTGTCAAATGCACCCAACACATAAAACGTTACTTGCATATAGTTCAAAATGCCTTTTTTTTAAAGACCATTCATTCATATTAATAGTTGATAGTTATGCCTACTACCGTTAAAAAAAAAAATTACTTTTGGACATTATGTTAAAATTATAAATGTGATGCATGTCTTTCAAGAGATGCAAGAATTCATATTTAAACGGTACAAAGAATTAAGCAAGCTAAGTCTCTTATATAAACTTGAAGATAAAGGAGTTTGTTACAAAATCCAAAAAACCAACTACACAATGGAGAAATTAGTAACATTGTTAGCATTACTATTATACTTTGGATTAGTTTTTGGAGAAATTAGTAACAAGTGTGTGTTTCCAGCAATATATAATTTTGGTGACTCGAATTCGGATACTGGTGGAAAATCAGCAGCATTTCGTCAAGTGCCCCCACCCAATGGGCTGACTTTCTTCGGCAGTCCCATGGGCAGAGTGTGCGATGGTCGTCTAATCCTAGACCTCATAGGTAAAAGTTGTTCGTGTTTGATCAGGAGATCACGAGTTCAAGTTGTGATTGTGTTTTTTTTTTTTTGGTTTTTTTCGTGGTGTTGCAGCGGACAGGTTGGAGTTGCAGTACTTGAGTCCATATTTAGATTCAGTAATGGCAAATTTTAGAAATGGTGCAAATTTTGCAACAGCAGGTTCATCTATACTTCCTGGTGGTTATAGTCCTTTTAGCCTTGAGGTTCAGATTTCTCAGTTTTTACAATTCAAAAAACGGACTATTTTGCTCTCTGATTTATCAAGTGAGTTAACTTCTTCTTGCCTTAATTTTCTACTAATATTTACATTGTATGAGTGTTTATGTTATTGAAATTGTTGATGCAGTTCCAAATAACTCAAAATGGTCTTCCTCCAAAGTCAACATTGCAAATCCACAAGATTTTTCTAAGGCACTGTACACATTTGACATTGGACAGAATGACCTTTCTTATGGTTTTCAACATACCCATGAAGCACAAGTCAGAGCATCCATTCCACTAATCTTAGACAATTTTACTCAAGCAATTCATGTATGTTCTTTCTTTTTAATTAGAGCTCATACACGCAGTTTTCACGAAGGGTGTTCAACTGACCATCCTTCATATATTGGTTTTGGTACTGATACTGTCTGCTTTGAGCCTACAGTCCACCACATCCGTAACATGCGTTACTAAGGCATAAGGCATGCTTTCTTATATACCTAACATCTCCTGTGTTTTGTCCACGTGGGATTTGGCTTAGATGCTACTCATTTGGGAGACAAACATTATCTTTTGATTATTGGGTCTCTTCTTTTTCTTACTAATGTTTGTGTATATACATAATTTGTGCAGCAACTATACTATGAAGGGGCTGTGAATTTCTGGATCCACAATACTGGTCCCATTGGCTGTTTGCCCTACAGTGTGATAGATTATCCATTGAAGCCTCAGGGCTTGGATGGCATTGGGTGCATAGAGAACCAAAACAAGGTGGCTCGTGAGTTTAACGAGCAACTCAAGGACAGGATATTACACTTACGAGCAGAGCTTCCTCGTGCTGCATTTACTTATGTTGACATTTATTCAGCTAAGTATCAACTAATTAGCTCTGCCAAGGAACAAGGTAATTTCTATTGCTTTGTTAATAAACTCTACTACTCTTTGAATGAATGAACCAAACTGTAACCTATGCTAATTTCCTCCTAGAAGTTGCAGTTATAGGGCCTGCTGCACAAAGCATTCCGGTTCATTTAGAGCCTGGGAAAGGGCACGTACCCTAAGGGGTGTAATGTAGGCAATCTACCTTGATGCTTGCATCACTGGTCGAACTTGTGACTTATAGACAGTAAAAATTCTGTTTACACAATCAATGTGTTTTAATCTACAATACCAGTTAGTAACTATTTTCATCAGGTTAACAATTATGAATGTATATCATAGAGATTTACCTTATGCTACCTTATCAGTGAGCTGATTATATAATATCTTTTGCACTATCAGCACATAGAACTTAAACTAATATTGCCAATTATGCTTTGTTTTTGATGGGCAAGCAGGGTTTGGTGACCCATTGAAATTTTGCTGTGGATGGTACAACAATGGTTCTGAAGTTGCATGTGGACAGACAGCTATAGTGAATGGCACAGAGCATGGGAAGGCATGTAGTGATCCCACAAAGTACATTAGCTGGGATGGGATACATTACACAGATGCTGCAAATGTCTGGTTAGCCAAATCAATTCTCAATGGCTCTTTCTCAGACCCTCCAGTTCCTATTGAACAATCTTGCAGTCACTCATCCACCAGAGTTTAACAAGATGTGCTTTGGACCGGCCACGATCATCCTGCAATTTCCAAGATTATTACTGTCATTTACATAGAGCTACATATGTTTTATTTGTCTACCACTGAGATACCAATAAGAACTTTCTCAATCTTATCTTTAATGTATGGTCGTTTTAATATGTCATCTGCTACTCCATGTGCCAGTTGTCATATGGTTTGTTACAAGAAAAATGAGTACATGGGACATGATCTGAAGCTAATCGTTTACTGGTACTGCAACAATTCTTACACTTAAATCTCGAGCAAATGAATAAGTCACACGCCTAATTGCTACCTCCAACTAGCACAAGTATCAGGCAACTCTGTCCACACAAGCTTGGACAGCTCACTCGGTCATTTATAGCAAGATTGTGAAAGAAACTTGAAAACCTTGAAGATCCAACAAGTCCACAGCTTTCTACTTCAACTGATAACACTGAGATGCATAATGTCATAATCAAACTATAAGGTTAATTTCAGTAACAAGTTCATTGTTACTCGTTCAAGGTAAGGAGAAAGGACATGTTCCCTTTTCTCCAGAACTCACATCAGTATATACTCACGACTTTGAGCTATTCATAATTTATGAGAAAAAGTTTCCAGGTAAAGAAAAAAGGAAATCTTGAACTTCATGTAACTCCCTGTCTGCACAATATATATACTAAACTACGCTACCTCGACCAATTTTAGAATCTATACACATCCTAAAACTTTCAGCTCTTTTAACCACTTGGCGGTTGAAGGACTATTGGAGCATGCTTCAAATATGAAAGGTGAGTTGCTAGTAGTATGCATTATGCAATAGAACTCATTTTCTTGTTTTGGTTTCTATTGTAGGTGACACTTGTGAGCCATCGCCACTGCCGCCACCAAGAGCTGCTGCAGCAGATTCCACATGAGTGAGAAGATATTCATAGATCTTTTTTCTTATCCTATCGATGATCTCAGAAGCAATTTTGGGACTTTCATCATCCTTGCTAGAGGAAATCTCATCTAACCAGTCGTTCACACTCTTCAGCTGGGATAACATGCCGGCTATTTGACCATTATCTGATAAAGCTGAGGCATCCACATCAGCATCCAAGAACCTTTCTACAAATCCTAAGAACCAGTCTTGGGATGCTACTCGTAACATCTCGGCTAAGTCAACGGCCTCTTCAAGACCGTCTCCTCTGACCCAATCCACTGGAGGAGGAGATTTTGGCTTCTGATTAGCAGCTACCCCATCTGTTAAGCGCCGTTGAGATCCAGATGACTGAATCTTAGAACTCATTGTTGGGCGGGGTTTGGCTTGAGGTTTTGCAAGTGTATTTTTGGTTGAGTTGTCAAGGACTAGCATAGGTTGATTGAGAGCAATAGTCTTTGGGCTTGGCGAGGGAGCTGAAAGGGCAATTGGAGTTGAAGTTGCTTTTTTGCTATACACTGAGAACGATGACAGATTGGTAGCCAACGCAGCATTGACCCATAGAGTTGCTTGCTTCCGTTTTTCTGATACAGCCTTAAGTGCTTCTTCAGAAGGGTTTTCTTCATGATCTGATTCTGAACCAGCAGCTGATATGGTCTTGGATAAAGCATCACCAACAAGGTGAACATTCTTCAAACTTGCATGCAGTGCCAAGAATTGCTCAACAGCAGGCTGTGCGTTATCTTCCTTTGCCGAGGAGCTCAACTCGGAATATGTGCTGAGTAATTGAAATTAAACAATCAGCAGTTGTTAGTTTGTGTAATAAAAGAATAACTTCAGTTGATGCTCTGATGAAGAAACAAATTGTAGAGATACCACAGTTTGAAAGTTCATAATAAACCCTAAACCGAACCATGGTCTGGAGATTCTGAAAGATGTATATCCAAGTTTATTTTTACCAGCCAACAATAGAAACACCAATGTGGCACAATACTGGCAAGATAACTCATGGGCTGGGCAGTTCAAAAGGGATATCCAGGATTGGGAGTTAAATGACCTGCAGGGATTGCTTACAAAAATATCAGATTTTATGGTCAACTCTCAGGTGCAGGACAGATTAGAAGCGGGGAGGATCCAAAGATAGAACCTACAATATCAAAAGAGGATATGGCAAATCTATGCTCCAACAAGGAACTGATTGAATAATGGCCATGTAAGCTTATAGGAAAACAGAAATCCCCATATAAGTAATTGGTTTCATCTAGACAACATTGTGTGATGGCAGCCTTACTCAAGACAACCTTAACAGAAGAAGCATTAAGAAAGTGAATAGATGTTATATGTGCCAGGAGGAATCTGAGAGAGCGAGACAGCTGTTTCTTCACTGTACAGAAGCAGCTGACATTTGGAGTATATTTTTATCAGTCTTTGGACTTCGCTGGGTCATGCCTTATAGTATTAGGGGATGCTAATGGAAAACCATCAAAAGAATTGGCAAATGATGTCTGCTGCTATTTTTTGGTGCATCTGGAATGGGAGGAATCGTAGATGCTTAGATGGGATTTCAACTCCTAATCACACTCTTAAAGCTAAATGTCTGATCAATTTATTTAGTTGGTTCAATCAGGCCCCTGTAACTAGTATTGAATTTTCTTTTGGATAGTGTATGCTCCTTAGTTGTTCAGTAAAATTTTGTATATAAGCAGATACTCTTCTGTTGTATATTTTTGCTATGCATCTTCTTGATGCCATTTACTGAAATTCTCTTCATAAAAAGAACTAAGAAAAAAAGAAGAAAGAACCATGGTCCACTATCTGCATAGGATAGCAAAGTTATCCTTATTAAATATTAACCCAACACAAATTGATTTAACTTGCTAATCTGTCTACCATGAATAATTAGAAACATAACTAGAATATTCTACAGAACTATTCCTTTCTTTTTTTCTTGATGAAGTAAATGAATTTCATCCAAAAGCATCAAGCAGATGCAGAGCAACCTGATCGCAAGGGTGTGGCCTAGTGGTCAATGAGGTGGTTGATAACCATGAAGTCTCAAGTTCAAATCCTAACGACGACAAAAAACACTAGATGATTTCTTGTCATCTGTCTTAGTCTTTATAGACTCAGTTAATGATACCTATTGTTGGTGGGAGGTGGCAAGCTATGTTGCTCAGACTCTTCAAAATCGGCAACGGGTGTGTGTCGGATTCTCCATTTGTAGTGTATTTTTGAAGAATCCGACACGGGTGTGGCATTGAAATTGAAGAGTCCGCGCAACTTAGGTGGCAAGTAGTACATGGAATTAATCGAGGAGCACAAAGCAGACCTGGACACCACGGTTATTAAAAAAAAAAAAAAAGATGCAGAGCAACCAGAACAATTCCTCCCTCCAGCATGATTCCCCACATCCAGCTGAAACTTATCCCTTTCTGGCACTTCTGCTGGAAAACCAACATTATTGGCTGGAAGGGCCCATTGGTTGCTAGAAGGGAATATCTCTTCCTTTTTGTTAAAGAGTTACTGTAGTAGCATTAAAAAGGTATGGTCTGTAATTTATAGGTGGAAACTGGGGCCGGCTGGATTGCATTCTTCCCTCCTTTCTTTTACCTTTTTCAGTAATTCCGATTGGAAAAAATCTTCTCAACATTGTTATCACAAAAGGTTCAAGATGACTCAGTCAAGAAGCCCACAACAATGTGGATTCCTTATAATTTTAGAAAACAGACATTACTCTAATGACAAAAAACATTCAAAGTGCATGAAAATCAAATCATATTTATCTCATATCGTTTTTCTTTAAAATCTATTCATGTCAGAATTCAAGCACCCTGATTGAGAAAATGCAATTGCTAGCATGAATAAGAAATTTATAGGTATTGACTCCAGCTTTTACTAACATGTAAACTGGAAATTGAAGCCACAAAGATCAAACCAGAAATAATTACTGAAAATTGCACGGCGAAAGATCTGTGGGTGGCCACTTTTCTCATTCAATAAGAACAAACTTTGGTATCCATACAAGTTAGTAAACGATTTGGCTTCATTATATGAGAGTATAAATCTAGTGAGACACATTTCAACGGGCTGTCATAAGAATGAAGATAACATGCTAAACTTATCCAACTTATTTGAAGGGAAAATAAATTCTATTTGAACCGACTCTGAAATACATAGGCAAGGTCAGAAAGTCATCCTTAACACTTTTGAAGGAAGAATTAACTGATCAACAACAACATACCCAATGCAATCCCACAAGTGGGGTCCTCTGTGGAGTAGAGAGGTTATTTCCGATAACCCTTGGCTCAAAAGAAAATAAGAATTCAAGCACAAATCCAAGAAAATAAGAGCCAAAAAAAAAAAAAAAACCAGTATACAAAGCAAATGAACAGATAGTAATAAACACCAAAGAACAAAGAAACTAAGTAATTCCTAAATATCAGATATATATGATACTTATTGTAAATGGGAAGCTTGAATTACCAAAATGTCCATCAAAAGTGAAGGACAATTTTACCCCTCAATCAAATAATATCATTCCTACACTAATTGTGCACAAAATGTAAATATACATTTTAATGATCTTATTAAGCTATTGAACATCTGTTTATGTACACAATGCATATGGATATGGTAATTACAGTCAGAGCATTGATTCTTGCCATCTTGAATGATATATTAATTACTCATTTATCAAGATACTAAACATCTTTTCATATAAACAACATACTATCCTTCTTTGAGTACAAGGTGGATTTTATTGTAATTTTAAATCCATTTATTCTTCTTCGAATATTTGCCAAATTTAAACAAACCATCCTACTTTTGAATACTCTGGTTGAAGATATATATATATATATAGACAAGGAAACCCCGCAGCCGCTATGATTTGGGTGAGCATAGGATAAAACTCCCGCTCCTATGCAATAACTTGCAAACCACACAAGAGAGGTAACCCGCACTAGCCCGAAGTGACGAGTTCGACCCAGAAGGCAAACCCCTTGCTTTCACTGGCAAGGGGTTTCGAACTTGAGACCTCCAACATGGAAGTCCCAAGCCCAAACCCAAACCACTGGGCCAGAAGCACGGTTTTGCATATATATGTATATTCTTCTTTGACATATTCATACTACT